GTGCTCTTACCTGTGAATGGATCTGGTTGTAAAAAGAAGGCGACCCATAGAATGTTGAGAAGAACCACAGAGACGTGGACGATCCAGTGCATGTTTCTGCACCTTCACTGTCAGGAATAAAGACTGACACACTGTGTGGGACACATACACACCACAGAGTGAACCAGCCCATCATATAGATACTAAAATAGTCACATCCGTGTTGAGCAGTTCACCACAAAACTAACAGGACATCATCTGCACAACGTGTGATTTACTTTCCTATGAACAGAACACAGTCTGCACGCACACAGGTGGAGTTTAATTTCCACATGTAAGTTCCATTTGTCATGAAAATTCACCTCGAAACTCCTGTTGAAAGAACTTGTACAAAATGCACAGAACATCACTACACTTTATTTACAACCAAGAGCAATCTACATATAACGCTACTTCCCCATAGAGTTATACTGGAGCTAATAAACTTCACCTACGAAGATTGAAGGACGACTATGAGTCGTGTCAACCTTAGTAACGGCTGCTAGAGCTGCTTGTATTAATCCTACAGAAAGTCATGAAGACAAAAAAGTGTCACCAGTCAGATTTTTAAGGCCGATGTGCAGATACGACTTCAAAGCTGAAACAGTGACAAAGACTCTTCGATTCACGGACTGATGCAACTGTAGCCATTAGTCAGGTTGCATAACGACAAAAGTACATATCATACATTACACTCACCAAGTTCTTTATTAGCAACACTTCTCTCTTCTCATGCAACCCAGTGGACATACAGTCCTTGTAGAGATGAAGCCATTTGAAAGCAACATTTTTGATTTCTTACAAGAAATGTCCATATTATTACCAACATTTTTGAACATGGTTACATGAATTTTATAGTGGCACCAACAGGCAGCTGGTTTAAAAGGAAGTCACATCGAGATCAGCCATGATGTCCGTGACCCAGGAGAGACTGGGATCCACGCAGATGCGACGAGACGATTTTTTTGTAATGAAACTGAAACAAAGAAGTGAGAAAGGTTAATGTCAGTATCATGATTGACATTCTTTTCTGACTTTTAATCCAAAATAAGAACAGCTATGGAGCAAATACATACACGAGGAAACGCTTTACTAATAACTGGAGTGAAAATGAGACACATAACAGCAAGAAGCAATTTCATTCTTGAAATTTCATAGTGATACTGAGTAATACACTTATTTAGATGATTGTGTTTAACATAGTGAGAATAAAGTAAATCCAGTTTGCAGCACTTACATGACTGCAGGCTTGATGCACCGGTGACCAGTCATGTAGTATGTGTTGATGAGGTTTTTTTTCAGTCTTCCTGGGTAGTATGTGAAGCAGCAGTCGTCTGGACCTGAAGAAAAGA